ACCGTTTCTCTCTTTCCGTCCCTGCCCAATGCCCTGTCAGGCTCACCTGCAGTTTACGGAGCACTTACTACGGGGGGGTCCTGCCAGAGCGCGGCAGAGGCGGACTCCCACCGTCCCCAGCACTAAGGGGGTGCTCTGTCCTCTCCCCAAGTGACGAGGGCTGCCACTGGCCAGGTAAGAGATCAGGGGACTTGCGGCTGAGTCACCAGCCCGTGCAAGAGGGCACAGCCCCAGGTCTGGGGTCTCCCAAGCTTGCATGTAACCCCGTGTCCCACCCACAGTCCCTCTACCTCTTCCCCTGTTGTTTCCTCCAATCTCTCTCTCTCCTCTCTGGCTCCTTCTCTCTTCCTGGTTTTCTCTGAATAACTTTTTATTTGTTTTTCTCTATCTCCGTGTCTCTCCATTTCTGCCTCAATTTCTTTTTTTCACTTACTCCCCCTTCTTGTTTTTCTGTTTCCCTCTTAGTTTCTGTATTTCTCTTCTCTCCTCCCCCCCCCCCGCCGCCTCTCTCTCTCTGTTTTTCTCTCTCCTTACCCCCCTTCGCCTGTCTCCCTCTGACTGCCCCGCCGGCCGCCCTGTCTCCCTGCAGCCAGCCCTTGTCCTGACGCCAGCACATTATGTCCCTGGTCAGACCCTGACGTCAGGCAGGGCCTGGCAGGTGGCCACGGGCAGCTGCCGGGCAGGCGGAGGGAGGGCACGCCTTCCCCGTCTCCACTGTGGTGGCCGCCTGCCCGGCCCCGCAGCTCACAGCTCGGGGCTTCGGCTCTCCCGGCTTGGCCTCAGCTGGCCCAGGAGCAGCTGGCTCTTGCTGGCCACCAGGCCGGTGAGCCGAGCGCTGCAGGTCACTCACCTCGCCCCTTCACCACCCCGATCCCGTAAGACACAGCTCCTGCCTGGTCCCAGAGGGGAGGCAGCACAGAGAGGGACCAGACCTGGAGCCAAGTTCTGACTGTGTGACCTTGGGCCTCATCTCTCCTTCAGATGAGGCCACTGAGGCACTGGCCTTTCAGGTCTGTGAGGGGCCGGGAGGGGGTCGTCTTGGACAGGGGTGCCTGGCCCACTGCGGGAATTCAGTGTCCTCACAGGGTCCCATCCAGCAGTCCTCAACGAGCGAAGGCGCTGAGAGGCACAGGAGCCTGGGCGACACAGGACTGGGGGCGCGGCTGCGGCACAGAGAGCACGGACGGCCGTGGGCAGGGGGCAGGAACAATGAAGGTGCGCCGCACCCAAAATACAAACAGCGTCCCCGCGGAGAAGCCCTCCCCGAGCCCAGTTGGTCTCAGGCCCCATCAGAGCTTGAATAAGTGGTTAAAAAAATGTAACATTTCTTGTTTGGTCTGTTTGCTTTTCTCCCCCCTCCCCCGCCCCACTCCCCCCATTTCAAAGCCATGAAATTTTTTTTGAAAGACATTTTGACGGGCACCTGAGCATCCTGGATTAAAGGCAGACACTGGGGTTAGACAAACCTGAATCAAGTCCAGCCGTGTGACCTCGGCCCAGCGGCTTCACCTGCTGGGCCTCTGTTTCCTCATCTGTCAAATGGGGATAATAAACACACGGGCCTCAGAAGACAGTTGTGAAGATTAAGCCAAACAATGTTCGTAAAGCACAGTAGGCTTTTTTCTTGTCTTTTTTAATTCTTCTCATTTTAAATATAGGAGCTACAGAAAAGTACAAAGAAGAAAACAAGGTCGCCCAGAGAGAACCACCCGACCATTTTCGTGGGAATTAGCTCAGTTAACATTTGTGTTGCCACACGCCTGTTGCTTGCTTTTTCAGTTTTCTTAAAATGAAATCCAACTCGAAGTTGCATTTAAAAATACCTTCGTTTATTTTATCGTCATTGGGTTTTGAATACACGCACATTCAATAGGTTCAAGGGGCTTCCAAGGCGAAGCAAGCGTGCCCCCCCACCCCCCCGCCTGGCCCCCCGTCCAGGAAGCCCACGCGGTGAGCAGTTTCTTGCGTGCCCTTCCTTTCTTTCCCGGTGTTAAATCATCTTGGGACACATGATTTCCAACCCCTCTATTCATGTTGGTTTTGTTTGTGTTTTCAATTTACTCAATTATAAAGCATGACATTCTAAAAAAAAAAAAAAAAAAAAAATTAGAACAGGCAGACAATCCAAACAAAGAGAACCAGCAGGAAAGCGGAGTCACCTGAAACCTTACTACCCCTTTGTCATTTCGGAGTATCGCCTCGCGGCCTGTCTCCCTCGGTTCTGTAGGTGCACATCCTTGAAGCACCGAGTACCTTTTCTCCTCCGCGCAGACCGAAGTTTGCGATGAAGTTTGCGCACCGATCTGGTCCTTGTCCGTCTTCCCCACGGTGCGGTGTTTTCCAGGGCCAGGGGGCAGGGGTGGCCACACTTGCGTCCTGCTCCCGGCACCGTGCCGCACACAGTAGGCCTGTGATGAATATATTCCAAATGAATGAACGAACGAGTGAATTTCTGAAAGGAATTGCACAATATATCACACTATCCTGTGACCTATTTTTTTCTCACTCGGTGTATCGGCCGCATCTCTCCGCATGTCTAGCTAGGCAGCAAATCATTTTTCATGTCTGCGCAGAGGCACCACAATAAACGTCTTTTTGATGCTGGCCAGAAGCATCTGCCCCTGACTGGGAAATTCTTTTTCAAACCAGATCTGTTAACAAATTCCACATGATCTGCCCATGCCCCAGCCCTTTGGCCATTTACTTTCAGCCTGACACTTCCCTGGGTTCGTGGGCCCATTGTTTTCTGGGACAAGTCAAGATTTACTGTCTGTCCCTGACATCATGTTTTTTCCAGAGAAGCTTGAGAGTGAAGAACTCATCCCGCCCCCATCCTCACCCCCGCCCCACTGTTTCCGCCAGTTAAGGGTTCTGTACATTTGCTGAAGCGGGGAAACTCGGTGTAACCCTTGCCTCTCTGGCTGCCTTGCCGTGGATAGTACACACCGAGCTCATTCCTACCTCAGGGCCTTTGCACCGGTTGTTTCCTGTGCCTGGAATATACTTCTCTCGGACGCCTACTTGGCTTACCTACGTCAGGTCTCTGCTCAAAAGTCACCTTCTCAGACAGGACTTCCTCAAACATTTTTTCACGTTAGCATGTCTGTGTCACTTACCTAGTTTTACCTTTTTTTTTTTTTTTTAATCCTCACCCAAAGGTATATTTTTAAAATTGATTTGAGAGAGAGAGAAAGAGAGGGCATGGGGCAAGAAAAAGGAACATCAGTGTGAGAGAGAAACATCAGTTGGTTGCTTCCTGTATGCACCCAGACCGGGAATGAAACCTACAACCTTCAGGGCTAGTGGACACTACTCCAGCCGAGTCACTCGACCAGAGCTCCGCTTTTACATTTCTTCATAAGACATTTACCAGTACCTGGTATCATACTATATCATATTATGTTATGTTACATTAGTATCTGGGAGTGCTCTTATTTAGTGCCCACCTCCGGTGGGAGCAGGGACTTGGTGCGCTTGCTTTCCGCAGTCTCCCCGGCCCCTCGGACAGGGCCTGGAGTACTGCAGGTGCTCAGGAAATGGCGGCTGTTGGTTCCGGGATTCTAAGGTTCCTCCTGAGGCTGAGGACGGACAGTCGTCATTTATTGATTCCTTCAAGATTTATCTATCGAGCGCCTCCCGTGTGCTAGGGCCCGTCTGGGCGCTGGGAGTGCCACAGGGCTTCAGGCAGACGGGCCCCCGCCGGAAGGATGTGGTCAGCAGCCCGGGAGATGCGCCTCCATCAGATGACAGCGTCCAGGCTGACCCTCTAGCTGTGGAGGGTGCAGCAAGAACGGGGCACAGGGCCCGAGGGACGTGGGTTCCCAGCTCTAACTCTGCATTTGCAGAGCTGGGTAAACTGCAAGGGCAACACAGATGAGAACGAGAACTTTGGCGTTTTTATTCCTACCTGCTGTTCTTTCACCATAAGTGAAGGAAAACATAAAAATGGGAGGTCAGAACCCTTTTCGTATTTCCCCCTCCAGGTCAGCCCAGCAGGTCTCTGCTTGCAGAGCGAAGCTGTGCCTTGCTTTCTGGCTGCCCCGTACCTTGCAGAACTCCTTCAGGGAACTTTCCACCTTAGTAGCTATACCTTACCCAGAAAGATGGTAGCAAACTCGCTTTCCCAGCCTCCCTTGCAGCTTGGTACAAGCTTGGGACTTGGGCTTCCCCAGTCAGACTTGCCTGCTGGAGACGAGCAATTAGACAAGAAGCAAGGACAAGAGGCTGGAGGAGAATGGCTCTGGGCCTAGGCAATGCAGTGAGTGGGACTCTCAGGGACAAGCAGGCTCAGTAGGGCAGCTCGTCCACAAATCCTGGGTTTCATTCCATGACCTACCCAATAACCTTGAATAAACTCCTTCTCTAGGGAAACTAGCCAGAGGCGTAGGGTCTATTGCTTGCAACTCAGATTTCCTGACTGACAATAGATCATTCTAGGTTCCTCAGTGTCATGGTCAATGATTTCTTATGTTATTTTTTATTCAAGAACTATTAGAAAATGACTATCCGTGACTCATTTTTGGCTACTGGAGGCCATGATTTTGAATGTTACAATTGTTACCCTGGCTCCACAATGGAGCCCCACTCCCCCTGCTTTGGGGAGGGGGGCCTGTATGTCAGCCAAACCATTTTGGAAAGCAGCTAGGTCACAGGTATTAACAGGTATTAAGAGTGCTCATGTTCTTGGACCCCCGAATCCCTCTTGTGGAATTCTGTACTAAGAAAATAATCAAAAATAGTGAGAATGCACGAAGATGTTCACAACAGAATTATTTAGAGTAGTGAGAAGTCAGAAGCTACCTAAATATCCAATGACCAGGGAATGATTAAGTTAATTAAGTGATAATTCTTAAAAGAACGTTAGAGACAATTTCTCTAGGAAAATATTAGTGTAATACTCAGGATTAGGTTTGTCTTTGAGTGACTGGAAAAAACAAAATAACAGGGACTTAAATGAAATAAAAGTTTGTTTATCTCTTACATAAAGGAAGTTTGGCGGTAGCAGCCCAGGGCTAGTGGGGTGACTTCATAAACTCATTGGGGGTTCAGGTTCCTTTTCTCTTGTTGCTCCACCATAGCCCAAGGTAGCCACTCAGATTCTGGCCAGTATATCTGCATTCCAACCAGCAAGGAGGATGAAAAGAGGAGGATGTATTCTCTCTGTAAGGACAACACTTGAAAGTTACTTATATTCCATTGGCCAGAATCATGTGGTCACATGAACACACCTAGCTGCAAGAGAGTTTGAAAAATATAGTTTCTTTTTTCTGAGCGAACACATGCCCAACCAAAGAGGCATGGGATTTCTATTACTGAAGAAGAGGGAGAGATGATAGAACTGGGGAGAAACTGGGGTCTCTGCCACAAAAGGCAACAATTAAAAATAATGTCTAACAGGATTTCGTACTACCATGAAAACAGATCTTGTATAGTTTGGGAAAAGTGAGATTTGAAATTGTATATGAAGTGTGACTGCAGCTGTATCACAAAATTTCAAAGCAGAGAAAGCTACTCAGAGGACAAAACTGCTAGAAAGTTGGCCTTGGTTTGCAGCCCAATAACAAATTTTATTTATTCCTTTTGTTCTATATTTTCCAAATTGTCAATAATTGAGGAAACTTAACTCCCCAAAAGAAAGGATCTCTGTGCAGATTATAGAATCTACTTTAGTGTAATCCATGCCATACAAGTTCTGTCCTCATTCGTTCCAAGGCAGCCAGATGGGAAAAGAAAAAATGAAATTAACTCTAGTCTCAGACAACACGACTGTGGATAAAAGCCAAGGAACCCACAAAAAGCGACTACACAAAGAGGGACCTGGGACTTATGACAGGTTCAAGTCTCTGCTTTGCTGAAATGCCTGTTACACGACCTCGGACAAAACACTAACCTCCCGGTCCCTGCATCTGGACAGCACAAGGATGAACAGCACAGCCAGGTGTGAGGAGGGCCGAAGGAGGCGGCTCGGGTAAAATGTGGGTGCAGAGCAAGCTCTAAAGCAGAGGTTCTCAGCCGGGGGTGATTTTGTCCCCCAGGGGACATTTAGCGACAATGTCCTGAGACATTTTTGGTTGTCAGCTGGGGAAGGGGGTGTGCTGCTGGCATCAAGTGGATGGAGGGCAGGGACGCTGCTGAACATCCTATACTGCAGGACACGCACCTCGCCCCCAAACACACACACCCCCTAAAAAATTACCTGGCCCCAAATGTCAATAGTTCTGAGTTGAGAAAACATGCTCTGCAGACACTCGGCTGTTAGTGTGATCGGGCTTTCTCCTGGCTTTTGCTGTCATGGAATGCACAGTGGTGGTCAGCTGGTCACACGTCTGGGGACACGTGCACCTGTGCAGAAGGTATTTCTAGAGTCACCTTGGCACCTTGCTCTGCACACATATGCTGTGGCCTCCCAAATGACCCTGGCGGCCTCCTCCAGCAAGCTCTTCGCTAGGAGGCTGGAAGCGCGTCTGTGCCCCAGGGAGCTGTGAGCAGAAGCAGGACGGCCCCTGCCCCCCAGCCCAGGGACAACAACGCTGCCGCCGCCAGTCCCCTTCGCGTGACATTCCCCAGTGCTGACGGCCCGGGGGGCCCTCTGCTTAGGTCACCCCATCCTCCTGGCCCCCCTGAGGCAGGCGCTGCCATCGCCCCGCCACAGGTGGGGGCACAGGCTGCGAGGCAGGCCGGCCGCGAGGCAGCTGGAGCCCGGCCAGCGGGGCCCAGGGCCAGCGCGCTGTCCCCACACCTCGCCGCTCTGGCCTGGGGCTCTCAGCCTGGCTGCACGTCAGCATCCCCTGGGGGAGCGCTGGCCCAGGAAAGCCAACCTTGGTCTGGAATCAAACAGACCTTGCCCTGGATCTTGGCTCTTTCTCCCGGCTCCGTGACCCGGGGTCAGTGACCAGCTCTCCGAGCCTCAGGTGTGTCCTCTGAAAAAAGAGTAGCATTAATTACTACCTCAGGGGGTGGCCATGAGGATTAGTGAATGTCCTGCATCACGGGCTGACCGTGGGGTCCAGTCTACAGTAAGCACTCATTAAATGTTGGTTTTCACTTTTATTTTTGAAGCAGGGCTTGGGTGCACGTGGAGGTGCGTGTGTGTGCAAGCTCTTAAATTGATTTTGATGTGCCCAGACAGTTGCCCATCCATCCACCTTTCCGTCCATCCTTCCGTCCACCTGGCCCTGCATCCACCCGTGCCTCCATGCATCCGCGCGTCCTTCCATCCTCCCATCTAACAAACACCTGCCGAGCATTTTTTTGTGCCGAGCCCCATGCTGGATTGAGAAACACTAGAAATAAGAGTTGGCCCTTGACTCCACAGAGCTCCCAGAAGAGCAGGAGAGACAAATATGATGGATGGTAAGAAGGTTCATTCATTCACTTATTCCACACCTGTTCCATACCGTCACCTACGTTTCAAGCCGTGGTAGGCCCTGGGGAACAAAGATGAAGGTGACAAGGTCCTTGCACTCCCATCCTAGCAAGGGACAGAAGTGAAAAGCAGGAAGGGTGTGTTCAATCACCATTTCATTCATTCAGCACATGTGCTGATGCCTCCCACCTGCCTGGACCCTGGGGACACCGAGATATAAGGGACTTGGCCTTGACCCTGGGAGCACAGTCCAGAGGATGGACGAGTCCAGTGGAGAGGTTCGGCAGAATGTGGTAGGAGCTGCGATTAGGGAGAGAGCAGGGGCCTGTAGAAGCGGGGAAGGTGGCCAAGGGAGCTCTCTGGAGGAGGTAGGGCCTGGCCTGAGCCTGAAGGATCAGGTGGGGTCTGCCCTGTCCCCCAACCCAGGATCCCCACAGCCTTTTTCCCTCCCTTCCCTTCTAGAATGTGAAGGTCAGACTCAGAGCCCCCCAAGACATTCCCTCCCTCCCAGCGAGCCAGCGCTTTTGAAGCTAGAACTCAAACCATCTCAAGGCAAGGCCCTGGGCAGCTGGCCGGTCAAACCTTGGAGACGGTCCCACAGTGACCAAGGTCCACTGGTGACATTGAGGTTGTTTGTACAAATGTGCTCTACTTTTCCAGGCAGTCTTGTTCACAGAAAAGAAAATTATCTGGTCTGCTGATATACTTGTGGTGGGGAGCAGAGGGGTGGCTGAGGATGTCTACCACGCACTGCATCCTGGGGAACGGAGACATCGGTGCCAGTGGGAGAGGACAGCGAGAAAGGCAGTGGCTTGGATGGAGAAGCCCCTTCCGTGGCCTTGGGAAGTTTTTACTTGTTTTACTCGAATGGGGAGCCTTTGAGCTGGGTTCAAGTAGATGAAAACATAAGATTCAAAGCCTCCAGATGGCTAGTGATGAATTCATTTGCTTATTCATTCATTCAACCAATATCTGAGCACCTATTCTGTTCCAGGCACTGTTCCAGGCACTGGGAAAGCGAGGGTGAATATAACAGGCACAGACTCTGCCTTCCTGGTAGCAGAGGGGACATAGACCCTAAATCAAATAATCGCACAATAAAACCAACTGTGATAAGCACTACCCAGAAAGGCTTCTTTAAGGTGGCACATGAGCAGCTGGTCTAATACTTCATTCAGCCAATAAGTATTGAGCGCCGTGTCAGGCACTGGGCTGGGTGCAAGGATGTGGGGTAAGCAAGTCAGACCTAATCCCTGCTCTCAAGCAGCAAACATTCCAGTGGAGGTGACAAATCCATAAACAATCAACAGTACAGTGAGATTAATACAGCCAGGGTATGGGGAGGGGCTGTGGAAGCAGGGAGGACTTCTTGGAGGAAGGGGATGAGCAGGAGTTAGGTGAGGAACTGTGCGTGGAAGTGGGGAAGGGGCACAGGTGAGGTATCTCCGGTTGTCCGCGGGGCTGGGGAAGGAGTGGCGGGAGAAGGTGCTGTAGCCTTGGGGGAAGGTCAGGAGCCCCTGGAAGGAGGTCCAAGGGTGTGGGCGCTGCCCTTGGAGGAGGCTCAGAGGGCAGAGAGTGTCCTCAGGGCTCCCTCTGCCTCTCCTCGCCTCTCTGCCTGGCTGTCTCCTCTTTCGGCCTCCTCAGGACCTGTCTCTCTTTGTCTTCGTCAGAGCCTGACAGTCCCTCAGAGTCTCTCACCGTCTCCCTTGGCCTCTCAGTTTCTCTGTCTCTGACTCCCTTTCTCAGCTCCGGTCATCTTCGCGAGATGTCAGTAGGAGACAAGGATACTAGGAAAAACCCCGGGCGGGTGGGCAGGAAGCGAGGTCAGGGGCACAAGGACAGCTGAGCACAGGGACAGGCGGTGACTAAATGTTCTGTTTTGGAAAGACAGCTCTGGTCAGGGGCGAAGGTGGCTGACCACGAAACCTGATAACCTGGCCAAACTCTGCTCTAGCCAGCCCTCTAGCCAGCAGCCCCATGACCTGTGGATGCGGCACAGAATTTTTCCATGGGGAGGGAGGGGGAATGGGGGAAACATGGCCCATGGCAGCTTCTCCTCCAGCAAGTGGGACCAACAGGAAGGGAAGGAAATAAAGGAACAGCGGATTCTTAAACGAGCCCTCAGCGTGGTGCAGAAACGGAGAGCCTGGCTCATCTCTACATGCTGTTCAAAGGTTTAACAGCTTATTCAGCACTGCCTGTGCACCAGGCATGGCGCCTTGTCCTCATCGCTGAAGCTCTCAAGGGGAACATTGTGGTTTAAGACCAGGGACCTTGGAGCCAGACCACCTGAGTCTGAATCCTGGTTTTGTAAGTGACTAGCTCTGTGACCTTGTATAACTTACTTCACCTCTCTCTTCATGCATAAAATGGGCAGACAGAGCACCTGTCTCATACATCTGAGGCCAAGATTAATATTAGCTCATACATGTCAAGGGCCTGGACGGATGCATGGAGCAGAATAAGTGCTCAACAAAACGCAGGCGATTATCACTTCAGCCTTGTGAAGGAGGAACTAATGCTAACAAGGCAAGGGGAGCCAAGTTCAAACCCCTGCTTCCCTACTCCATAGCTCTGTGACCTTGGTCAATTCTCCTAACTTCTCTGAGTGTTGACTTCCTACTGTTCAGTGGAGATGATCTTTGTACTCACCTCACCGTGTGGCTGAGAGGTTCTGTGTACATGTAGATGGAAAGCATTGGCCTCGAGGTGAAGAAAGTAAGCCCCAAAGAAGTTCATTAAGTTTTTTCATGTGTCCACCAGCCTCTGGGTCCCCAGGACAGCTATGACGTACTGGGTCCTGTGCTCTTCCTGTCCTGGAAGACAGCAGGGAGCAGTTGAGGATGGCGGGAGCCCCCACGGCCCTGAGCTTTGGTCGTGACAACAGCCTTCTGACTCAGGCATTATCAACCCACTTCACAGAGGTGGACACTGAGGCTTGGTGAGGCTGCCCGAGGCAAAGTGTTCCGAGCACCTCATGCTCTGAGCTGCTCTTGATATAAAGTCCGATGACAATGCCACCTATGCTTCCTATGCCTCCAGACGCATCTAGAACCTCCATCTCTCTCACACACTCAGCAGCAAGCTCCTGCCTCAGTATCCCCAGCTCCCGCCCCAGACCTGGCCTCAGAAATGTTGGTTATGCTGGACAGAATCCGCAAGCCCGAAGAGCCGTGCTGTTCCTAAATCACCTCTTCCACCCTCGGCCTGTTTCCTTTCCCTGTGCCAGTCAGTTGGAAGGCCACTCGTCTTGGCCATCAAATTCACTACCGAGGCAGGAAGCAGGTGACAAGCACAGGCAGTGAGGAAGGAAGGGTCAGAATGATACCTGGAGCCCCAGAAACCTGGGTTTTCATGCCTGGCTATGTGACTTTAGATATGGGCACTTCTTCTCTCTGATCCTCTGTTTCCTCATCTGTAGAATGGGTGCAGTCACCATCCTATCCACCCATTCCATTGATGTGCAGAATGGAGAGAACATGGCACAGCCCTAGGCAAGGGGGAGGTGCTCAGAAAATGACAACTGTCCCTAGGATGTGAGCCCTCTCCCTCTACCCCGATCGTCCAAGCTCAGTTTGGCTCCTCATGGTCAATGGTGAGCTTCTCATGAGACAGTGTAGCAGTTAAGAGTCCTGGGCTTGACTGCCGGGGGTCAACTCCTGCCTTTGCCACTTGCTAGCTCTGTGATCCCAGACAAGTGACTTAGCCTCTCTGGGCCTTAGTTTTCCCATCGTTCATGAAACAGAGGCAGCAATAGTTCCCATATTTCAAAGCGTTGCAATGATCAAACGAGTTCACAAATGCAAAGGCTAGGATCCTGCCAGGCACATGGTGAGGGCTCGAAGTGTCTACTGCTCTTCAGGCTTTGGAGAGAAAGGACCTGGTGGCTTCTTTACAATGTACCACGGACTCGGGGCCAAGGATAAAATGGGGGACCTGGGGCGAAACCCCAATCTGAGCCAGGGGGGATTTCAGAACGCGGGTCCCTCGTATTGGGGAAGGGCTTTGTGCAGGCCCCACGGGGCGCCAGGGGAGGGCTGCTCCGCAGCCGCCCTCCTGCAGGACGTGCTTGGGCATCTCCGACTGTGGAAGCTCCCTCCTTCTGGTCACTCTGGAACCCTGAGTCATCCGTGATTCTTGATTTTTGTCACACGTGGCCCCACAGCGTGTCCTGTCAGCTCTACCTTCAAAAACAGCCCATGGACTTCTCTGCACCTCCCACCTCCGCGGCCACCTCCTGGGCCCAGTCCCCACGATCCTCTGCCTGGGCCACTGCAGTCACCTCCTCTCTGGTTGTCCCCCTTCCCTCTTTGCCCCATTTTCCACACACAGCCAGACGGTTCTTTTAGAATCCCGACCAGACCGCGCTCTGCTCTGCTCAGGACCTCCCGTGGCTCCCGCCTACGCCGGAGAAAAGCCCGGGCCCTTCGGATGACCGACCCCCAGTCTCCGCCCTCGCTTCCCCCAGGCTGCCCCTCGCTCCTGCTGCCCAGGCGTGCCGGCCTCCTCGTCATTCCTGCA